TGGCTTTGGGATTGGTTGGTCTGACTCAGGATGACCTGTCTTCTCTCCTTATTTATTTGATTTTTAAACAAGGGGTTAAGTGTTTCTTTGAAGATTTGAAGGAGTATATTATCTTTGCTTGTTGATATAATATACCATTCAAAGCAAGCTCTAAACAAGAAAAATATGTATTATTGTCTTCCCATATTTGTCCCCTATTTTTCACTTTCAAATAGTAATTTGTCTATTATTTGTCTTAAAGTACATGTAATGTACTTAAGATATGTTATATATGCACATCAAGCATGTGAATTACCATGTTTTAACTATATTTCCTTATTCATTGTACTGCATTTCAAGTTGATTTAAGCATGTGAATTACTATGTTTTAATTTCCTATTTCCTGTGTAAAATATTGCAATGGATAAAATGAATAGTATCTATTGGAGTAGATAGCAAGCCCTATCCCAATGCCATTTATGGTGGTATGGTTGATGTAGAAATGAATTCGAAAAACTTCAAGTCCCACGCACGTTAAGTAATGGGTCGACCTTGCACGATTGCCTTTCACCTTAGCTTCTAGAAAAAAAAAAACAGTTGAGATTTTATGAGAACAATTGTTAATTAATTAATAGCATTTGACATGTTATTGTTAAAATATCAATATTTTATTGAATGAAACTTAATTCCTTACATTGAAATCAATCATTAAATCAACGTAATTAGAATTTTAATAATATTTTAAAGAGATTTTACAATAAACAATTTATAGGTAGTGTATAGATTGATGATAAGTATGAAAGAGAGGATTTCTGGCTTATAACTTAAGCTCCTCCAAATCCCAGGAGTATATCCTTATTCGCCATAGATTTTCCTTTATTCTCTACTTCAAATCTAATAAAAATGACAGGATAGAGTTAAAAATGCTTTTGTTTTTTTGAATTAAATGGATGGAATCAGACAACATATCTTACTTCATTGTTCTATTCTGAAAAGGGGTAGAAAAAAAAAGATTAAAACGACAAAAGGATAGACTTTATGGAGTTCTGCGCCCTTGATGGCTAAGAGGTCTGTCACCAATTTCACCTCAATCTTTTTAACTTTTAATTTTAATTTTATACAAATTTATTAATTTTTAAATAAATATATTTTTATTAAATATATATTTAATTATTAATTTATTATTAATATTTAATTAATTTAATAATATAATAATATTAAAAATAATTTTATTTTTATTAATTTTAAAAATTATTGTATTATATAAATTATAATTTTTCATTTGCCATTTTTATTAAAAAAAAAAACCTATCCCCTACAAATGCTTCGGTTCCGACCATATCTCCCTCTCCTCGCGCTTCGCGCCCTGTCACCCCTATGCCCCCATAGCCTCGCGCTCCCAAGGGAGACGCGCCACGCCATCGTCAATGCTCCCCAAGAGAGATCGAGATCTACACCGCCGGAGCACCGGGGGTGGGGGGCGAGTCTCCCTTGGGGAGCGTGGGGGTGGTGGTGTGAGATCTGGGCAGTCTGCTAGTCTGAAAAAAAAAAAAAGAAAATAATGAAAAAGAGGTAGAAACAAAGAAGGATAATTTTGACATTTTATATTTATTTGTTAATGCATTTGGAGTTGATTGTTTATTGTGAAAATTAATTGATTCGTATAAAATTATAATTTAAAATTTAAAAAGTGAAGGTATTTTTCTCTTAATTTAATGAATCATTGCAAGAATTAACTTCCATCGCAGCCAATGTGACAGTCATGGTGTGGTATATACGCAGACTTCAACTTCCTCTTAATATGGAGAAAAGCAAAAGCTCTTACAACCTGAGCAGACTAATTCATGGGAACTTAAATTACTTCCATTTTTAACTTTTATACGAGATTCAATGGTCAATAGAATGGGAAATAGTTGCAAGAAAAAGGGGTACTGAAATCATTATAAAGCCTTTTCAAGCTTTTTCATTCCTCCTGGTTTCTGAACAGGGACCGGCCTGTATTTGCTTTGAGGTTTCATATTCACTTACGTGAAGCCGACGACGGACTTTCTAGAGGGATTGTTTATTCTTCAAGTAGGCATTTGAATGGAAGGGTCTGTTTATGGAAATATTGATCAAAGTCAAAAATGCAATGTTCAAAGAGACTTGCAGGCAATCCACCCAAAGTTTCAAGACTGACCCTTCATTTTTTTTCTCCAAGTCCAATCTAATACGCGGTAATGGTGCTAATCAGACAAATTTAACAAATACCTTCCCGCAAGGGTCAATCCACTAAAGTAATCAAAGGCAAGGATCATTTGGCAAAAATTAATGTGAGAAAACAATGAACCATGATGATGAAGAATGAGAAAGTCTTTGCTTCCTTGCTAAGATGTAATTAAACTAAGGTCAATTACATATGAATAGTGAAAAAAAGGATAGTGTTTCTAAAAATTTTCGTATAATTTCAAAATATTTAAATAAATTTTGATTTTTTATTTTATTAAATTAAATTTTTATATTTTTATTTTAATTTAAGTATTTTTTATAATTAATAATTAATAAATTATTATTAATTAAAATAATATTTATTATATTTTACATCACGTCATGTTGATATGGCGTAAACATAGAAAGTAAAATTATTAAGTTATCATGTCATATTAATATATTATATTATATTATTTATTATGACATATTAATGCGTCACGTTAACATTACGTTATATTAAAAAATAAATAACGTGTTGATTAATTACTTAATTAATTATAAGTTATAAAAATATAAAAATTTGATTGTTAGTAATAAAAAGATAAAAATTTATTTAAATTTTTTTAAACAGTTTAAACTTTTTTTAAGTATTATGTAAAAAATAATTAAGAAAAAATATTCTAGGTGCAATTTAAGTTTGTTTACATTTATTTAAAAATAAAAAAAAGGGTACTTTCAAAAATTCTAAAATTTTAAATTATCATTTAATTGAATTGATGTATATTAATTAGCCCATGCATAATCGATGATGCATGAATTTTCATTTTCCAACGTGAATATATTACAATTGGAAATTTTGTCACTCAAAGCCTCAATAAATTGGACCCAAAGAGAGACCAAATTGAGTTGAATCATTTCCAGGAACGGAGGCTTTAGGCACAGATCACATGAAATTGACATCATTTTAATGATTTTGAGAACGAAGGAGAGCAAGAAAAAGGGACCCATTTCTTCTTTTTGCTTAATTAGTTGGTTGCCGGTCAGAACAAGCCTTAGACTATGACTTAAGCTCTAAGCTCAACCCCACTCTCAATGATTCCGACCGAGCGTAAGCCACTAGGATGCTTTACCCTATGGAAAAAATATTTAAAAATTGTCAACTTTATCTTAAGTTCGAGCTTATCACATATCAATTATAGATTATAATAAATGAATAAGCAATCTTTTTTATTGCATTTTAATATCAAGTTTCAATGTGCTAGAAGAGGGTCTGGCGGCGGCTTTCCGTCGAGCAAATAGATAGTTTAGTGGCAACTTGGCAATACCAATTCTTTATTGTCAGAAAATGATTGGAGCTGCTAGATTGCTCGCAGGCGGCGTGATTTCCGGCATTGAAATTTTGTTTAAAGGGACGAAACAAACAAATTAAGGTATTTTCAGAGTGGATTAATCAGAACATAAAGACTTGGTTTGGTTGGCCCAAGCCAAGACCTAAAATCAGGGGCAATATATGTTTTTCAAATTAAAAAGAATGATTTTGACAAAGTTTACAAGGTCCATCGTCAATCATGCCCTTATTGTTATGTATAAATAAATAATAGTAGTGTATATATAATCTCCCAAGGGAGTCATTTATAAAAAATATAAATAAATCTAAGTATTTACTAAGTCAAAACAAAATATTATACACATTCAAGATTAGATTTGTAAGGAGGAAAAAGAGAGATTTCAAATCTCAATTATTGTTAAAACCTTAATGAATGGTAAAAATGTATTGATTATTCATTATTGATCATAAATAAGTGGGTTTTAGTGATTAGTTATTAGAATATGAAGCAAAACTGGTAGAATTACTAATTATATCTCACGGTAAAAACCATTGCTAGGTTAAAAAAAATTACGGTACTTAATTCTTTTTGTTCACTTTAACTCGAAACTTTACGGTTTTATTCATCTCCTAAGTTGAAAGTGGATGAATAATTAAATATTTAGTCAAATTTTAATATAAATTGATAAAAGATTTAAGATTTTTTTTAAAAAAAATTGTAACATCCTCTTCAACTCCAATACGAATTCATTGTTCAGTGAGATATTACGCATACCCAAAGCTACCTTTTATACAAATGTTATCATTTACGTCAACATATAATATACTTAATATTACTATATGCAAATGGTTCGTGATAATATTTTTGAATGAAAATCATAGACAAAAGAGAGTTTCAAAAAATGTACTGTAGTACTAAATATTTGTGTAGCCTATTAAGGTATCTAGGAAGGTCTGGTAATAAGAAATAATTTGAACCGGGCCTGATTTTCTTGTCATGATTTTGGATGGTTTGGGCAACAAAATCATTTAAGGCGGGTGCCATTTGCTGCCACAATACATCATGATTTTGGACGATATATGTTAACATCGTATGGTCAGCAATATCTTAATTAATATTATTACATGCAAGACATGGTCAAGTAGACTATGATTGTTTTACTAGTGAAGGGGCCATCGATATCAACATACCCCATTTCATATATTTGGTCGGCTAACCCAATAGGGTAACAAATTAACTTTTATAAAAAAATCCATATATTTGTTTGTTTTAGTGGTATCATGGTTTAGCACGTTACTAGATTTATATTTTTTTTCTTTCTTTATTTTCTTCATGCAGACATTAGTTAATAATAATTTCACTTCTTCCTAATAAATGACACACTCGTATTAATGATGGCTGAAATTAGTGACAATTACTAGTGATGCTGGAAAAATCTCTGGCAAATGTTGACTTGATTTGATGACTTGACCGATCGGTGAAGGCAGTAGGAGTTGTTGATCGGATGAATTTGGGAAGTGGAAGGTATTGGTGAAATTTGGCGCTGATGATTTCGCCTCGGGTAATGAGAGGAGAAGACAGTTGTCAACCACACCCAAGGTCCTCTACCCATAAGCGTTCTCTGAATGCAGCTCTCCATACGTGTTTTCAATACACGAATGACTCTGATTAATAATGCACTGGCAGAAGCGCCGCCTGAGAAAATGAACAAACCTGTAAAGGGCCCTGGTCCAATTCCTGGGATGGTAGCAACAGTTTGATCAGATATCCAACTTGAACAATCAGAAAAGGAAAGCGCATCTTCCTCCAATTGCTGCAATTCCCCTGCCTGCTTTAAGTTAAGAATCGCCTCTGACATATCTGACGCCAATCGAGAAGATCGTTGAAACACCTACATAAAAAAACATCGTAAGAAACAGATGTAGATCACCTCGACGTTAGGATATTAACCAATGGAGTGTCACTTAGATTACAAATTCAAAACTGCCCAGATCGTAGGCAGGTCCCGACTTGGTAAAGTCCTTGGCAGTATTTCGCAAGGAAGACTTTGGCGCGAGGTGTCAACAAGAATGCAGCCTTTATATTTCCACCTGATAAAGCTTTCTCATAGTCATCAACTGATTCGATGTTTCTGATATTCTTGCGCTTGAATCCCAAAATTTTCACTAAATACGAGACAGTAAAAGGATTTCCATCGCAACCAATAGCCGTATTTGTCCTCTTTGAGTGAATCAACATCTAATCGAGCTGGCTCAACTTGTGAACTTGTTACCATAGAACAAAGTCTAGCGGTAAAGACCATAGTGACAATCATGATCAATAGTAACCATGGAACCAGCAGAAAATAAGACAATCTGTTTCTCGGTCCTGCAAATCAAAGAATGTGAAAGTTTTTTTAGGTGTTAAATCAACAATACCTTTTTTTGCAGCATATAATTGTAATCGGGTTCTTGCCCTTTCAATTAATGTCCTCTAAACTTCTTTGTTTTTCCCACAATTGCTATCCTTGGCCTAAATTGTATTTTCCTTTTTACTCTTTAAATATCTTTACATTTGATTGTACCATACATCAGATGCCATCTTACCGCGTTCATTGAAGAGGAAAAAGGGGCTCCAACTTGTCTTGAAGGTGAATCAGTCGATTCATTGCAGGTTCTAAGTTCAATGAACCAGATAGCAAGACCAGTGAACACAGTCATAGCCGCCATTGCAAGCCACATCTCTGTAGTAAGGGGCTCATGAACCACAAAACTCCGTTCAATCCATTGTCTTTTGTCTTTACCACCATCACCTCCTTAATTCAGCATACGGCTGCGAGAATTCTACAATATGAGAGCGGTCTGCTGTTATTACTATACCGCCAACAGCTGCATCAAAAGTCTTCGCCATACATACAAAATCTCATCAGTCTTACTCTGTTATTCTTGATGTTATTGGTTATTTAAAAATTTTTCTTGGTAGAAGAATAATGATTAATTGAAACAGATAAAGGGTTTTAGGACATAGAATGTAGTGTGATGTTTGTCTTGCCTCTGGCATACTTGGCTTTGACTTCCAGGCCGCAAGGGGTCCATCATGGATTAATTCTCCATCAAATCTTCTTTTCAGGACTAAAAATAAAAAAGTCAAAAAGAAAATTACACTCGAACATATAGTTTATTAATCAGTACATAATTCCTTTACATAAAGCTTAAACCTCTTTTTTCTTAATTATATATATATATATATATAAATAAAGCTGGAAAGAAAACTGATAGTGACCTTACGGGCAACTTCCTCCACCAATTGATGACAAGATCCATGAAATGGAAACAGTTTGTAAGCGAAATGATACGGTAGAACTGCAACGGCAGCTTTAAAAACATCGATCGAAAATCCTTGCATGCGTAGTTTCTTCCGGTTCTCGTCATGACTTATGTTCACAAACTGCCTGGAGGTTGACCTTACTAGAACCGCGACGCTGAAAACTCTAGAACGCTGTAGAAAGTTCGAAAATGATAGAGTGCCTCTCATTTGAAACTGCTCGCTCAAACTCTGCCTTTGATGACTTGTTATGTTGAAGGCAACGATGTGTAAACAACAAATTCCAATGTTCTTTGGGAGAGACTCTTTCCACTGGTAGAAGCTGATTTGTTTAGCAACATTCTGGAAAATTTCAAATATATGAGGAGCAATGCAAACCGCTGAACATACTGGTTCCGGTATCACTTTAGACAATTCATGTAGACCGCAAAGTACTGTTGCTCTGCTTTTCCTGCTAAGCTTACCCCTTTTAGCAGTCAATGTAGATTCATAACTTACTAGCGTGCAAGATATTGCCAAGGGATTCGGATTCCAATTGGTTGTCAAATAATAATCTGCATACAACAGCTTGACATAATAAATTTGAAGGACTGATAAAGAACAGTCTCGTTAATCCACAACACAGCCAACATAACGAATATGACTGAACATTGGACTTCAGAAAAAATTTCAATGGGCAAAGGGCCAACTTCAATATTGAATGATTAGAGTTGGAATGATAAATAAAGTTTCTTATACTAATTCTTAATCAAAAGCATAATCTAGATGCATATGAAGATTGAGAATA